CTGGTATTTTCCAGGGTGTACAAGCCCTGGGGATGAGGAGCAGTTCCCAGGGGGAGGCTCAGCTCTGCTCCAGTGGCACAGCCTGTGGCATTCTGGGCTGTGCAGCTCCGTGGACACTCTGAGCACCCCCATTCCCAGGATCCCAGTTTTGCCAGCAGCATCCACATCCCTGGGCTTTGGGAACACCAGAGCTGCCTGATCCAGCTGATTTTGATGACAGCAAAGGGCCTCATTATGTGCCAGAGTTCCCTGACATGATTTCACACACCGGTGTTTCCTCAGCAACTCTCTGTTCTCGGCTGTAATGAAACACCTGCTTTCATACACTGCCCAATATATTTTGTATCTTTGCATCTGCTGAGAAGCAGAAAGAAGCTATTTAGGAAGGATCTCTGGCTGCCTGAAACGGGAACATGCCCAGCTCTGTTATTGATCTGTGACTTCAGCCCACAGACAAAAAATTCCCTTCTTCTGCTATAATGAAATTATCATTAAAACTCTCTGAAATGTTTATTGCAGAACCTGAAACCAGGAGACAGTCCCCTGGTCTCCAGCTAAAAAGCCTGGAACTGGTTTTCAGCTTTATTGAAAACTTGATGCATCTGCTTATAACTTTGTACGAAACTTTTTTCTGGTTTCAATTAAAATTGAGTTTTGTTTGTAACCCAAAGCTGAGCTGCTGAATTAAGAGATGACAAAGCTGCGACCAGAACTTGACAGCTGAAGATTTCACAAACCATTTCCATTTTCCAAAATTGACGGATTGTACACATTTTTTTAAACCAGATTGTTTAGGAGAAAATGAAACTTCTAATGGTCTTGCAATCCAGAAAACATGATACTCTTGAAACATATAAATCTTTGTGACTTTAAGTAAGTTTTAAAGAACATCTACTTAGGCTGACAAAGGGAAAATGAGGATATAGGGCCATGGAGATGTTCCAGGAGCTGGAGCCCCTCTGCTCTGGAGCCAGGCTGGGAGAGCTGGGAATGTCCAGCCTCGAGGAGAGGTGGCTCCAAGAAGACCTGAGAGCCCCTTCCAGG